TCTATTTGCCCCCTGTTTTGCTAGGGTATCCACCAACCCATTTGCAGTCCTTCTGGCCCAACCAAACTGAGAGTTGAACCTCCTTGCAAGTGTGTCAATTTCTCTGTAGATAAATTTGAGCTTCCAAGGTGCTGACATGATGTTTTTAGCCCAACCAGCCGAGTGACTAGGCATCCTTGGCTGGTTGCGTATGCTGGTCAGCATCTAGGAATTTTCTTGAGTTATGATGTTGTAGTTGTTAAAGTGAGTTTTGGCTCCTTGTCTTAGGGGCCTTGGTTGTAATCTGCCATTTTTGGCTTATTTGAATAAAATTTTACCTTATCTTTTATCAAAAAAAAAATTGAAAATTAATGAAACTAATATATTTAAAAGATTTTTTATCTTTTAGTTATGATGATTTTCCACATTTTCAAAGGAAACTTAACGCTTTTAATGAAGAGAATTGCTATTTTTTTCAATTAATATGCATGCTGAATGGTATATAAAACTAGGGAACTAGCCAAAAACTACTTCCTTATATTATAAAATTCTTATCGCATAGAATCACCTGTACACCTTAACAACTATGCTGGTCAGTTGCTTCCTTATACTTAGCATTGGCCTTTTCTAGTTGTTTCAAGAGTTGATATGATCTTATCAACAAAATGGTCTACCACAACACTATATCACAGAAATTTTGGAAGTGGCGCCAAATCCAAAGTATTTCTAGAAGTGCACCCAAATACAATATCAAATGGAGATTTTCCAGTAGATTTGTTCACCATGTTATTATAGGCAAGCTTTGCTTGTGCAAGAGCTAAATCCCATTGTTTAGGTTTCCCACTGGATAGACTGCGTATCATATTACCAAAAGTCCTATTCACCACCTTTGTCTACGTACCGGTTTGAAGATGACAAGTGCTTCTAAATTGTAGTTCGAAGTCAAATCGGGACCATAAAGTTCTCCAAAAGTGACTAAGGAATTTTATGCCATGATCCATAGGCTGGCTACACATGTTGCATCAATTGTCTTCCTGCAAGGAATGGAATGAGCCATCTTCAAGAAGTGATCCACTACTACAAACATCATATCTTGTTGCCTCTAAGTTATAAGGCAACCAAAGTACAAAGTCCATGGAAAGATTCTTCCAAGGACCATCCAAAATACGCAATGGCATGTACAAACCCCTGTTTTGGGTATGCCCATTAGATGTCTAGGAAACATAGCAACCTTGTATAAACCTCTCAACATCTCTCCTAAGATGTGACCAATAGTAACACCTCTCCACCATTTCAATGGACATGTCTCTGCCCAAATGACCCCCATTATGCAATTCTTTAATCATTTTCTCCCTTAAGGATCATTTAGGACTGCGTAATCGAGCTCTTAGAAAGAGAAAACCATCATGCAAGACAAATTCATTATGTTGTCCATTTTGGAGTATTTCCCATTCAACTTGGAAGTCTTCATCTATAGCATTGAGTTCTTAGGCATTTGAACCTTATGACTTCAAAGAAAATCCTCCCGCTAAAAGCATCTGCTGCTTTATTTTGTTCTCTTGATTTATGCTTGAGAGTAAAAACTCTTGTAAGAAGGCTATCCATCTGGCATGCATACGGTAAGTAGTGTTGGTGTTATTAATATACTTCAAAGCTTGATGATTGGACCAAATAATGCTTCCAATTCAAAGCCTGGACTACTGCATATAGCTCTTGCTTGTAGATAGACCATTTCCTTCTTGCTTCATTTAACTTTTCTCTATAAAAGGCCATAGGTTGATTTTCCTGAGACAGTTACAGTACCTATACCTATCATAGAAGCATCACATTCCACCTCAAATAGCTTATCAAAGTTAGGAAAAGTAAGTATAGAGCTTTCATTAGCTTCTCTTTTGTCCATTGGAATGCCTTTCCTACCTCCAGTGTCCATTGAAACTGCCCTTTTTCAAGCAATCTGTAATAGGATTGACTATGCTGCTGAAATATCGCACAAATCGCATGTAGAAAGTAGCCAAACCATGGAAATATCAAACCTGATGTAAATTTTTATATGTAGGCCAATCTGTAATAGCTTTAACCTTTTCCTCATCAACCATAATGCCTGAACCACTGATCACATGCCCAAGAAACACAAGTTGTTTGGCCATAAAACTGAACTTTTTAACATTGGCATAAAGCTGCTTTTGGTGGAGAATCTCAAATACTTCCCGCACATGTTGTAGTTGTTCTTCCTCATCCTTTCTATACACTAGGATATCATCAAAACATACTACATACGTACCTGCCAATAAATTGCTTCAAGACATGGTTCATCAGACTCGTGTATGTGCGAGGGACATTAGAAATTCTAAAAGGCATAACTTTCCGCTCATACAACCCTTCTTTGGTCTTGAAAGCCGATTTCCATTCATCTACAAGGCAGATTTTGACTTAATGATAACCAATCTTCATATCAATCTTAGAAAACGTTGTTGCCCCATGAAGTATATCTAACATATCATCCAACCTAGGGATCAGATACCAATATCGAGCAGTTATTTTATTGATGGCCCTACTTCCATACACATTCTCCACCTCCCATCCTTCTTTGGTGTAAGGCTAGAAAAACACAAGGGCTAATACCAATTTGCATTATCTCTTTCCTTATAAGTTCATCCACTTGCCCTTGGGGTATCTCATGCTCCTTAGGGCTCATTCTATAGTGTGGCAAATTTGGCAAACTAGCCCCCAGAATCAAATCAATAGCATACTATATTTCCCTCATAGGACGAAATCTACCAAGTAATTCCTTGGAGAAAACACTTTTATATTCTTCAAATGATGATTCCATGGCACAAATACAATGGTAGGTGGGAGACCTTCGCCCTTGGAAACAATAGCATGGATTTTCCCAATCTCCTTAGATTCTTCCAAGAATCTTTGAGTAAGAAGGGTATGCCCCTCCACTTGAGAAGTTTTGGGTTGTTCCTTCATTCCCAAAGTTGCAAGAACAAAATTTTGTTTATCTTTAGTGAAAAAATAAAGGTTATCTTTGCCCCTATAAGTGACATTATAACAAAATTGCCAAGGTCTTCCCAAAATAATGTGGCTAAAATCAAATAGTTATTCATCAACATATACATTAACAATAGAGAAGACCACCTTGCACTATTGTGAAACCTTTTCCAGCTGAATCTTCTTCACCCAACCAGCAATGAACAAATCGGTGCTAGGTTTGGTTGGCAAGCCCAACTGCTATACAATTGATTTGTCAATGGCATTTGCCTCTGCCCCACTATCAATGATGAAGTCACACACCATATCTTTTATTCTACATCATGTCTTGAAGGCTTTCTTCTCTTGTGTGTCAAGTATTGGTTGCTTGGCTACATAAGAATATGCTTAACCACACCAAAAGATCTCACTTCTTTTGGAAAAGCCCAATGATCATCATCTCCTAAAACATCTTCTTCATTATGAACAATAGACTCTTCATTTTAAGGTTGAAAAGGGTTGTCTTCAACTTGTTCAATCATATCTACTCTGGTGCGTGTTTGTGGGCAAGAACTAGAAGTATGACGCACTTTTCCCACACCTATAGCATTTACTCCCAAAAGGATATGCATAAGGATTGTTGTTTATAGGCTGATTACCTTGCTAAACAAGTTGATTTAGTTGCATTTGAGGCCAAATTGGCTGCCCTCTAGGATTGTTCTTTTGTTGGAAAGTGTTATGGAATGGAGCAGTGGGCATTCCAGCCTTAGAAGCATTCAAGGGAGGGTGTTGGTACTCCGTAACAGCTGATTTTCCCTTCTCAACAATAGTCTCGACCCTAGATGTCTCACCTAAGTAGTCTCTTCCCAAGGTTTGGTTTCTAATTGGGTACCATTCGAAATTCCTTTCAGCATCAATAGCTAAATGAATAGCCTCATTTAAATCCCATACATCTTGGCCAGCAACTCTTTCTTGTATGATTGGTTTGAGACCCCCAATAAACCGAGTAGCCCTTTGTGATGAAGTTTCAATCAACTCATTACAAACTAAAAGCGTGAAAAATTCAGATGGATACTTCCTAACCCACGTATACCTTGCACATAACTCTGGTATTGTTGTAACAAGTATTGGTCATAATCATGTGGAAGAAATTGAACCCAAAGTAGTTGCTTCATTCTTGGCCATGTCCTAATAGGTTGCTTTCCAGATCTAATTCTCTCCATCTAATTTTGATCCCACCAAGCGGAAGCTCCCCCTTTCAGCTTATAAGAAGACAAATTTCACCTTGTTTTTTGTTGCCTTTGCAAAATCAAAGAATTCCTCCACCTCAATAATCCAATCAAGGAAGTCTTCAATATGCAACTGTCTACTGAAAGTCGGCATCTCAATCTTCATCTTGTAATCCGTATCAGCATTATTTCTTCTTCTAGATTGTTTTCTAGCATCAATTGGCCTTCCCATACCCTAATTTTCATCTTCAAAATCATCAAAGTGTCCCTCTTCATCACTAAATCAAAGGCTGTTGCTAGGGCTTCGAAACATTGTTCTTCTTAGGGCTGAGTCACCCCTCATGGCTGAAACTGATTCCCATGATCTATTCTCCTTGCTGGTACAGCAAGCAAACACTAGTTTCTTCTTGTGTTGAAGTTGTACTAGGTGGCTGAAATTGGTCCTAATGATTGCTTCAGTCAATTGCCTAATAGCAGCTTCTAAACCTTGAAAGGATGCAGCTTGTTGCTACTGTTACTCTCTAGTGGCTGAAAGAATCTCAAACCCATCGTTGGAAACATTATTGTGGTTCATGTCTGAGAGAAAACTCAGGCTCCGATACCACCTAATTCAAACTTTGCAGTAACTTCTCCAACTACTACCAAAACATACAGCAAAAATGGTACTTAAAATATTGGGTTTAGGATGTACAACATGGGAGGTGGATGACCAACTAAATGAACTACCACCAATAATGGCAACTTTAATACAAGTAAGGAAAGAACCAATATATTCATGAACACTTAGAACCAAGAACCTATTAAAACCAAACTGCTTACCTAACCACTGTGCCCACTGAGCAATTAATTGTGAGAAATAAAATGTCCAGTGTAGGTGTTCTTTTCTTTGTTCATCATCCCAAAGATCTTCAGGGGTCTTTTCCTGTGTAATTAACATATCAACAGAACAAAGTAAGAATGTTTAACCACAGAACTTCCAACTTTTGATCCACCAATTATGGGAAAAAAGAAGATTTTACAAGTGATGGGAAAAAAGAGGATAGTAAATCAGGAAACCTTACTTGAGAGAAACTATCATCATATTTATGATTCCCTAAAAGAGGTTCATTCAAGTCATTGAACTGCGATGCCTCATAATGCTCATGATTTTTCCCATCAACATCACGATGATGGAGTCTTCTCCTCAAAGTTCTTGATGTCATGGGGTAGGCTTATTAATCGTCAGTAATGATTCCTATGATAAATGTAGCAAGGATTTGTTATCAATGATGTTTCAAATTAGTGAGCTAAGAACTTTGATGAATAAAAAATTTAAAAAAAAAAAAAACATTAAATAAAAATTCTATTTTACATTTCACCAAGAGATAGGTTCACCAGAAATACAAACTACAATATGCACTGAATATTCATGAAGTAAGTTGAGTCCCACCTTGATCTCATCAGATTTAACGTTGCATGCAACTTTTGCTGTTTTGCACTAATCATAGTCCAATAAAATGAAGTAACAGAAGATTAAATTTGCACAACTTAGAAGATTGTGTGGTAAGATGGTAAAACAAAACCAGGAATATCGAAGACCTGATCTCTCATATTACCTCCTTATGCAACATTCGGGCTATCAATTCTGAAGCTTTAAATGACCTTCAAAGAAATTTAGCAGAAGTCCTCCACTACTCTCCTGAAAATGGTTTTACTCAAACAATTCATTCTAGGGAGGAGGATCTGATAACTCTAAGCTTTGAAGGTAGTGCTCAAGGATCCATAGGTCAATGAGGAATTGGAGGAGTAATCCATGGGAGAGGGGGGAACATCTTTTGGGCTTTCAGTGGGCCGATTGGGAGAGCTGGCACTACCAAGGCAGAGATCTTAGCTGTTCTCACAGGCCTCTGTTATGTCAAAATGTTAGGCCTTTCTTCTCTATCCATTGAAGGCGATTCTGCTAATACGATAAAATGGCTAAGGCAGAAGAGCAGAGGACCTAGGAGGCTTGCTTACCTGCTGACTGAAGCTAGATATATTTTTTGGATTCTCTGAATGTGAAGTTGGTTTGGATTCCTAGGGAACTAAACTTTGTAGCTAACAGCTTAGCCAAATCTAGAGCCCATAGAGATTCTATGTTGCTGATACTTCTTTCCCTGTGAAATTCTGCTCCTGCCTCCTAAGGCTCCTGTACTTGTTAACTTTTCTCAGTTAACTTTTAATAAATTCTCAGTTAACCATTCTCAAAAAAGAAAAAAAAAAAAAAAGATGTTAAAATCTCAGGCTGACAAATGTGAGATAATGGGTTCAAGTCTGAGAGTGTGCCAGAGGTTAGGTCCAATCGGGTCCACTCTTCCCAAAACCCCAGATAAACATCTAATAGACATCCTAATGAGTAATGACCAAAAATAAAGAGAACACAATACCTTCTAAGAATGCCAATTAAGTCAATGTTCTTATAATAGATGAGATGGAATAAGTTAGACTCTGTGAAGATAGAACTATATGTGCAATGAAAAAATAGTAACCAACCAACAAATGTGGTAGCTAAGCTATTCTTCATGTGCTTAAGTTTACCAGCTTTCCCTAACTATAATTTTGCAAATGATCAGGGTAAGACAACAAGTTATATAACCAAGAGGTCAATAAAGCTACTTACACCCAAACTCCCAAAGGCCAACCAATTTGCCTTCTTCGCCTTCTTAATACAATAACACATAATGAGGTTTCATGAGAGTTAAACTTGACGAGAGTCTAACAACAGCACTTCCTCCAAGTAAACAGAATTACAAGTGCAAACGATTGTGGCCATGAATCCCGCCATAGACTCCATCGCATTAAAGGATATTTTCCCCTTTGCCCAAATCCATCAAATCTCAAGCCATTAAACCAGTCTTTCTTGGACAGTAACCAATTAAGAATCCCCTTGCTTTACAGGAATGCAATTGAGCAATATCTTATATTTCAAACGATTTGACTAATCTTCGTAGAATCCCCTTTTGAAGAATTGTTCCCAGTGAACCATTTTTACTGGATTACAAAAGTAGATCCGGAGAACATATTCAATATACTAAAGAGAATTTCGGTCCTTTCTTGTTTTTTGTTTGTGAATTCCGTTTGAGTTTATTAGAAAAAAAAATAATGAACAAAGGTTTGAGCAGGAAACTATTACCTCTAGAGTCTAGATTTTCATATATTCAACCTTTGCCCAATAGCATTCGTTCTCTGCTCTGCACTTTTGGAGATCCGAAATTCTGAAGTCGAAATAAATCTGATTCGAGCAGGACGAATTACAGAATCGGCTTGCACGAATTCAGAAACTGTATGAAATCGAATTAAAAAACCTAACAAAGAGATTTCCTTGCAGCGCAAGGTTTCGGCAACTGTAAACAGAACAGCGAAGCGAAGGACGATTGAGAAGCAAGTTTATACTTCTACTCTCGTTTCTTCCTTTACGTTTGTCCTATACTCCTCTTTATAAGCTTTATTAGAGACGTTTTTCGTGTAGCTTAGAAAACCGAATCGGATTCACCGTCCACGGTTTAACAATTGCGGGCCCACCTGACCTACTGACTCGATTCACGACAGCTTCTCCACAGTCAAGCGCTCCTTACACCGACCTCACAAACACAATTGACTGTGTATTCGAAACATCTCCCATGAATAATAACGTTTCGAATGTATATCAGCTGATACAGGTTGGTGTAAGGAGTGATTTGTTAAAAATAACATCTTGGTCAGACGATATCTTTTTTGGTTTAAGGGAAATTTTATGATAATGAAATACACGAGTGCACATCTCCGCCCCACAACGTCCACAGCACATTCCGGTCGTGTATTAGGAACATTAGTTTGGTACTATAATCGGGAGATATTCCCAATATAAGGAATTGGTTTTAAGAGGGCATGAAGAGCTTCAGAGTGGCATCTCCATAGGGCGTCTGCAGCAAGGTTCTCTCTCCCCTTCTTGTATTGTACCTCAAAATCAAAACCCATTGCTTATGAGCTTTTGTTGGGATGGTGTGTGGATTTTTTGTTCCAACAAATAGACTAAGCTACGGTGGTCAGTCCGGATAGTGAATTTCTTCCCCAACAAATATGACCTCCATTTTTGAATGGCCATCACAACTAGGAGTTCCTTGTCATAAGTTGAGAGTGAGAGGGCTCGACCCTGTAGAGCTTTAATGAAATGGGACAAGGGTCGACCATTATGGGAGAGTACCGCCCCAATTCTATTTCCTGATGCATCACATTCAATGGTGAAACGAACTGAGAAGTCTGGAAGGAACAGTAGGGGTGTTGTGGTCATTGCCATCTTCAACCCTTGAAAAGCCAGATCAGCCTCTTTTGCCCAAGCCCAAACCTCCCTTCTTAAGCAACTAGGTAAGTGGTCTTTCTAGAAGCCCATACCCCTTGATAAACTTGTGATAGTACCCTGTAAGACCCAGAAACCCCCTTATCTTTTTCTATGTCTCGGGCTTGGGCTAGTTCTGAATGCTTTGTATCTTGTCTGGATCCATGCTCACCCCGTTGGCTGATATGATGTATCCTAGGTACTCAACTCGGTCTATGGCAAACCTGCACTTCTTCATCCTGGCATACAATTTATTTTTTCTCAAAACTCCCAAGGTTAGTCTTAAGTGGGTTATGTGCTCAGTGTAGGATCTGTTGGAAACAAATATATCATAAAAAAAAACCAGAACAAACTGTCAGAGGTACTCACTGAAAATCTTGTTCATTAACGCTTAAACAGCATCACAAGAAACTCATAGTGCCCTTCGTGAGTTCTGAAAGCGGTTTTATGCTCCTCGCCTTATTTGATTTGGATCTAGTGATAATCAGAGCTCAAGTCTAGTTTGGTGAAAATGCATGCTCCCTGCAACTCATCAATCAGTTCATCCACTACCATGATGGGAAATCTATTGGGAATGGTCACCCTACTCAGGGCCCGATAGTCCACGCATAATTTCCAAGACCCATCCTTCTTCCAAACCAAAAGCATTGGAGCTGAATATGGACTAGTGTTAGGGCAGATTATACCTTCACAAAGCATCTTTTTAATAAGATCCTCAATTTCTTTCTTTTTGGAAGTGGGGGTACCTGTATGGACGAACATTTATGGGTCCAACTCCCCCTTCAAGGAGCCTTGGTAGTGGTTGGACTGGCTACAGGTACCTTGGGTTTCTGGAACTTTATCCGATTGATTATCCTTCTCGCATTGCACTCCTCTTCCTCGAGAAGAGCAAGTCGTATGGCCTGGGACAGGGTGACGGGCTCGAATTTCTAGACATCAGCTCTAAGGTCGCCTCGGAGTCCTACCACAAAACAATCGACGAGGAACTCCTTTGATAGCCCCTTCATGCGGCTTGACAACCTCTGGAAGTCCTCCAGATACTCCTAAACTCCGGTCACCTGGTGATTTTGGATAGCCTACCAACACAGTTCAATCCCATGGGATCGTTGAACCTCCTGTCCAATGCCTCGACAAATTGTCTCCAAGTGGGTGAGGGATGGAGGTTTCGAAACCAACAATACCATTCTATCACCTTTCCTTCAAAACTTAAACATGCCACTTCTATCCACTGTTCCTCATAAACTTCTTGAATTTTCAAAGTATTGGCGAATCTGGAGGAGCCACCCGTCCAAGTTTGTACCATTAAACCGGGGAAGGTCCAACTTAAGTCACCTCTCAAAGCCGTCATGAGAGCTTCCACCCCCACCATTCTCCCCGCCCTACGTCTATGAGGCTTCTGGAGCACTCCGTCTAGATCCACCTTTGCCTGAGGTTAGGAGATTGAGCTTCTGGATGACCTCATCCAATCTTCCCGGCTCCTTTCGATGTTGCTGAGCCGAAGTTCCACATCCCCCATTTCTGGTTGCCGAGGATTCGGTAACTTTGATACCAAAATGGTATCGATCTCTTTTTTGATAAGAGAAGAGATCTTCTTCTTTCCCCGAGCAATGGTGCTCGACACCACTCACAGAGGAGATAAGATTAGACGATAAATTTGGATATCAATTCACTGCATACTATTATTCTCAGATGAAGGTGTTTATATAACCCAATCCGTTACAACTAGTAGTGGAGAATCACTGAATATTCTACTCTTAACCAATTTGAACTCCTGTAACTGAAAATATTCCCTCATGCAAGGTGGCAGGCTGCATGCGAGACTCTCATGCAAGGTGGTGCTCAAGTGGCGGGTGGTCTAGCTGGGATGCATTCAGAGCAGGATCCGAGATCCAATATCAGTTTGCTTTGGATTTCTCATTCTCTTTGAAGTAGATTGTCCACATCCTCCATAAAGGCTGGTTAAGCTCCAAGGTAAATTGTCGGTGTGGTTGAGGAGTTGGGTTGCTGTGGAAAGATAGTCAAATTCCATAATGACTTTCCTATGCCCTAGATTCCAAACTAGCTTAAGACCTTCGCGGATAGCCCAAAATTCAGCCTTATCATTGGTAGCACTGCCGATGTAGGCAATGAAGATATCTTTCCACTTCCCCAGCTGATTACGAAGGACACCACCGACCGGAACTCCACCATTGTTGCCTTTGGCAGCATCGTCAGTGTTGAGTTTAACCTAGTGATCTTCTGGAGGTTTCCATCTGATATCTTTTCCGAACTTTGTTGGTAGCACTATTCTCAATAAAGATGTTAGAGTCTAAAGCCGTAGTCTAATTATCAACATAAGAGATTGCAAGAGATATCAAATCAGTATGCCTTGTAAATTTGCTATTAAAAATTTTTTTGGTTCCTTGAATTCTAAATTAACTAGATAACATAACAAAAGATAGAAAGATCACTAGTTCTAAGTCGATGAAGATTAAGACTTAAAGGGGGGTCTTGAATAAAGTTAATGTGCTTACTAATGTGTGCACATACACGAAAAATGCTGATGGAAATCACCTTACCAAACAACATTTACGCTTAAAAAGCTTTGTTTACTACCTACGTGGTAGAAACAATACCAAACATAAGATGGTGTTTATTTGTGAAAACCGGTTTTTTTTGAAAACCGGTCCCAAAAAACGCCCACGCTAGCAAACTCCATCTAGATGCGTATGCTAACCCCACAACTTCTGAACATGTGTTCTAAAGTTTCCATGTTATGAGTGCAAAACTCACGGTTTGTAGGGATCGCTAGACCTCTCTTTACAAGTTTATCTCTTACTCAAATTTTACCAAGGAAGAATTTGACTCTTGATTAGCAAGGGATTGCCCAAATCTATATATAAAAGTGTGTATACAATGTGAAAATTTTTTTGGACTAAAATTATCCTATATTTCTTTGTTTGAGAAAGGTTATAAAAGTCATTTTATTATATCTTTAATGGTAGCTTTAATGGCTAATAAAATGCCTATAATTGTGTATTTAGTCCATGTCTAGTTGTAAGGGATGAAAAATGTAACTTAAATTATTACTTTTCACCTCATTGAATCCCCTCTCATTAAGTCTTATTTTTAAGATGTTCAATTCCATTTTCTCTTATTAAAAGTTATTTTTCACTAATAAATGCTACTAATTAGATCTATGTCAATATTTTTTATAATATAATTCCATATATTTCAAAGTTGACTAAAAAACAAAACGATTTTTTATCCAAGTGGTGGCTAACCAAACCAACCATCCCAAACAAATTGATCAAATTATAAAGTCATAGTTAGGTAATAAAATTTTTAAAATAGAAATAAATATAAAAAAATTACAAAAAATAGAAAAGTTAGACACATCTATGATATTTTTATTAATAAAATAAAAATAAGTGTAATAAACAAGAATTTTTTTTTTGATAATGAAAATGAAATACATATTTTATAACTGACCAAAAATAAAATTATTTTACGATTTGGCAAAGATCAATAGTTCAAATGTGTTAACCTTTGATGTCATAAATAAATAATAAAAATTAATAAAATATAAAAGTATAAAAATGAAAATAATGCATAAATTTTGCAAAGAAAAAATTCAAACACATGTATAATATCATATATTTATAAACAAAAAGTAAGTGTGACATATCATAATTATTTTTACACACAGAAATAGAAAAAAATTATAGGCAAAAATGAACACATCTTTAATTCTATATTTACACTACTATAAAAAATATGAATAAGATTGCAGAGCTTTCTTTTGACTAAAGTACTCATTTTTAAATTTACTCCCTTTTTAATTGGGAGGTTTAAATTGTAAATTAAACTACCACTTTTCACCAAATTCAATTCCCTTTATTTAAATCTTACTTTTTTTTATAAATGAACAACAAAAATATACTAAAAAGATAAAATATTACAAAAGGAAGAGTTTAACCAAGCAAGTAGACTTGTCAATGATACTTGAAACTTTAGAACTCAATTTGATTATCACATATTTTGATGAGATGTATATGTAATTACACTTGGATTGTGCATTTTGCTTCTAATTAATAAGAAAAAATATAAAAACAAAAAAATAAAAAATAAAAAA